CGCAATCGAAAACCCAGGATAAGATTGTAGTTCAATTGATAGGGTGCTTGCTTAGAATGCATCCTCAGCCCTGCATGATCTGGGCATGGCAATATAGACCTGCAGTAATCTGGACATGGTGATATAGCCCTGCAATTTCAGTACTGGGGGAAGGATGAAAGGATCAGAAGCTCAAGGCTCTTCTTTTCTGTATAACAATCTCTAGCTTATGCTACATAAGATACTGTGTCTAGGAGCTGGAGACACGGCTTGGTAAAGGAGTTTGTTGCTCCTGCAAAGGGCTCAGAGTCAATTCCCAGAACACACATGGTAGATCCCAACCATCCTAATTCCAATTCCAGGGATCCAATACCCTTTTCTGATCTCCATGCCAGGCATGCATCTGGTATACAAACAAAGCATTCACTCACATAAAATTAAATCTAAAGATAAATAAATAAATAAATATTCTTAAAAGTCGATGGAGGAAGAACACAGACAAAAGAAAGAGAGAAGGAAAGAAAGGAAGGAAGGAAGGAAGGAAGGAAGGAAGGAAGAAGCTTAACTGCCTTCATACTAAATGTTCCATGGATGTACAAAAACCAACCAATCAAACCACCAGGACCTGGAGAGATGGCTCAGGGGTTTAGAATGCGTCCAGAGGACCTGAATTCAGTCTCCAGCACCTAGGAAGAGCAGGTCACAAATGCCTGTAATTCCAGTGCCTTTGGTTTCTGCCAATATTTGCACACACATGGCTTTCACTCACACAGACACATGCATATGCACATAAATAAAAATAATAAAAAACAACCTTTTAAGAAAAGCAATCAAAGACAGGCAGAGACATTTTGTGGTGCCACAGTCTCTCCATCTTTTCTTACAGTGTAACCAGGCTGTAGTGAAAAGGGCTTGGGTGACGCAATGTGCGGGCAGTCCTTACAAAGCCCACTGTGGGTGGAGGAATAGGAGACCTCCTGGTTCCCTGGTGCAGCACCCGGGCAGGTAGATGAGTACAGCTCAGGCACCACACTCCCTGCCCCTCGACACTGATACCGTGTCAGCAGGTCTTTGTTCCGGCTTGGTGTATAAGGAATGCTAGGAGTTTCAACAGAGCTGCCTCAACTTCCTCAGAAGTGTTTGGAGTGAATATTTCTTACCCTGAACACCTGGATTGCCCCTTCACTTCGCTTTTTCTCTTCAATTATTTCTTTGTCCTTTTGGCCCAAATCCTGAATTTGTGACTCTATCAGCACCTGTGGGGAGAGGATACTTCAGTCAGGCTCTGCCTCTAGGAATGTCATTATTATCAGCCCCCTTTTTCTTTCCCATGGATCAAACAATTTTTTCCCTTGTACTATGTGGTCCTGAGGGCCAAACTTGGGTCCTCAGACTTGGTGGCAAGTGCCTTACACTCCGAGTTATCTCTCCTGCTCCCAAAGCACTATTCTGATTCTTCTTCTTCTTCTCACCTTGGTTACAGACTGGCATTTCCCAGAACTTGGCTCTTTGAGCCCACTGGGCCTGGCTACATATAGCCAATTCAAGTGCAGCGGTGAGTACCAACCAGCTGGCACAGGCAGCTGCTCCTATGTCCTCAGGGAGTTCTCCTCTGCTGGGCTGGGGATAGAGAAGGAGCCAGGTACCTACCTTGTAGTTCTGGTCAGCCTCATCTATCAAGGTGACATTGTGGGACTTATGGCTCCTGGAGTCACGGCACACCAGACAGAGGAACTCCCCGTCCTGCTCACAGAAGTAATGGAATTTTTCCTTGTGTTTAAGACATCTTTTCTCTTCCCCTTCTGGTTGGAATTCAGTGGGATCCATAGACCGGATTGTCTCTGCAAGACTAGCCAACTGCTTGTTGGGCCTGAACGTATCCTTACTCACAGTGACCTTGCAGAGGGGACACTGGAGGTTTTCTGTAGTTTTCCCAACCTGGATGATACATTGCTGGCAGAAGTTGTGCCCACAGTCAATGGTGACAGGATTCTGTAGGATCTCCAGGCAGATGGGGCAGGTCACCTCCTCCTGTAGTTTGTTTGCCATGAAGGAGCAGCAGGGCCAAATTGAAGTGTGAAAGCTCAGAAGTCTAAGGCAGGCACAGGTGCTGGGAAGAGAAAATGCAACAGGAAGCAGCCGTTAAAAAGTGTCACCACTGGAAGACCACAGAGAGACAAAATGAAGGGGGGGTAAAGCAAATGAACAGCAACAACACAAAAGTAAAACTTAAATGGGGAATATTGTAAAGAGAAAAGACAGGTAGTTGGACCATCCTACCTCACTGTCTCTCAAAAGCAAACAGATACTGTGAACTCATGCTTCCTGTAAAGCAGACCAAGGTTCCTGGACCTTGAACTAATTAAATAGATGTTTCCAAAGCAGTTGTCTGAGAACAAAAGAACCAAGTGTCAAAGTCTACTCAACTGCAGGTAGGGAGTGGAGCTGCTGACTGGCAGCCCCAGAAAGGTGGGGCTTATCTAACCCCATTGATCTCTTACTTCCCCCTCCTGTCTTCTATTGGGTTTCCTCACTGTCTCTGAGCCATCTTTTGTTCTGTTTGTCATGCCTGCTTCTTCCTCAGTCTCTGTTCACAGACCCCTAGCTTACTCAACCTGTTTCTTTTATCCTAACTAGGAAAGCATCAGCCAGTGTCATCCATGTAACCTTAGTAGCTCAACTCTTCACTTCTTAACAGTTCATCTTGCTCTTTGCTCCCAGGAACACAGTGTGTCTCCCTTCCTTTCCACTCCCCGTCCCACCAGCCCAGTCTCTCTTCTGTCATTAAAAACCAAACTTTCTTCCTCTCTGGTGGTGACCTCAACTCAGGATCTTTCTCTTGCTATGCAAGCTCTCTAGCACTGAGCAAAACCCCCAGCTCCTGTTAGGGCAATTTCAAAACGTCTGTCTTTATACTTGGTTCTTATTCATGCCCCTCCCACCCCGCCGCCGCCGCCCGCACCACATGACAGCCACTCATTCTTAATCATCCCTTTACTCCCCTAAGTTGGTCCTTCCTTCTACATCAGTGTACTCCGTTATGCCCTCTTAGTTCCACCACCCACTCATTCCCTCCCCCTTGTTCATGGTCTCCCAGCCCACTGATTGCTATTGAATATTTTTAATTAAAAATACTTTTATTTATTCATTGATAATTTCATATGTGTACAATTCTATCTTGATCCGTACCCCAATCACTCATCTTACTTGCCACTAATCCTTCCAACATGTCACTTTCCCAGTTCTATTCTCTCTTCATATATATTGTTTTTTGTTTGTTTGTTTCTTGTTTTTTGATTTCTCTGTGTAGCCCTGGCTGTCCTGGAGCTTGCTCTGTAAACCAGGCTGGCCTTGAACTCAAATCCATCTGCCTCTGCCTCCCGAGTGCTAGGATTAAAGGCGTGCGCCACCGACATGCAGCTATTTATATTTTTAATAGTTGTTTATTTTTATGTGTAAGAGTGTTCTTGACTGCATGTATATAATGTGCACCATGTGCATGCCCGGTTCCCATGGAGGCCAGAAAGGGGATTAGGATAGCCTTGAACTAGAATTACAAATGGCCGGGAGTCACTATGTGGTACTGGGAGCCAAAACTAGGTCATCTGCAACAAGTGTTCTTAACCCTTGAGCCATCTCTCCAGCCCCTGTATTTATGTTTTGTAGCACACAGTTCAGCTGGTGGGGGAAAAGCACAGAGTCCATTTAGTACTAACCATATGCAAATGGTGTAGGACCTCATGGGAGCATAGTCAAAGCACAACCCCAAAGAAAACAATCCTCCTTCGCCAGCAGCCATCAGCTGCCGGCAGCTCCTCAGTGTGCAGCGGGACCCTGTGAACCCTTTCCCACCCAGGCTGGAATGCTGACTGGCCTGACCTTGTACAAGTAACCACAGCTGCTGGGTTCACGAGTGCAAGGCCATCACCAGGTCGCACAAGGGTGTGGTTGGTTTTGTGGGCTATAGCCCCAACAATCATTCATTCTGATTTGCCAGGGACAGTCCTGGCCTTACTCCTGCCCTGATATAAATACCAGCAGCACTTCCTCTCACTTTCAAAAGTATCCACCCATAAGATTGTGGTTGCCTTGATTATAACAGCTTCTGAAAGCTGTACACTTTCAGAAATAACACTCCTTTCAGGCCCTGTCTGTTTCGATTTAAGGATGAATTAAAGCAAGTGTCTATGTATGGTTTTATAGCTTGCATTCACACTCAGTTGCCAGATACAGAGGCAAAGTTTATTTTTTAAATTAAATTATGTCTTTAAAAATTTTATCTTTAGGATATATCACTGTTAATAATTTTTTTTTGTGTGTGTGTATAGGTGTTTTTGCCTGCATGTATGTCTGTGAACAACATGCAACATTCTTGAAAGCCACAAGAGGGCGACTGACCTCCTGGAACTGAAGCTCCAGATGGTTGTGAGCTGGACTTTGAGTGCTGGGAATCTAACCTGGTTCCTCTGGAAGAGCTCCAAACGCGCTGAACCACTGATCCATCTCTCCAGCTCCCAGAATTTAATTTTTCAGGCAAGTTTTGCATTGTTTGCATAGTGCTTTAAGAAAATAATGACTTCAGGAGAAGGAGACACACATGCCTGCCTGGGGCAAGAAGAAAACATGGACCTGACCAACACTATTGTGGTGAGCAAATGTATGGTGGGGTGTGAGAAAAAGACAGACAGAGAGACACACAAAGAGACAGAGAGAGACAGAGACAGAGAGACAGACAGAGATAGAGAGACAGAGAGAGAGGGAGGGAGGGAGGAACAGAGACAGAGAGAGAGGGGGAGGGACAGAGAGAGAGAGAGAGAGAGAGAGAGAGAGAGAGAGAGAGAGATGTAAGGGGCCATTTTCCTGCATTATAATGGTGCCTAAAGACACCAAGATGTAAATTACTTCACAGGCACTGGGTAATCTCCATTCCTTTGATCTCTGCCTATCCCGTGGCTCATTTTTGCCTGAGGAGCTGAAGCCATTCATAGGGTAACACGTCCCAGGTGGCTGGTCAGCCTTTATAAGGGATGGTTTTCTTGGTTTTAGTGTCTCCGTTCTGGTCTCCATTCTGGTAAGATGTATTAAAGCTTGTCTGCAGAAGGATCCGAGTGTCCCGTGTATGATTTCTTGCTGGCGAGAAATACAGAGCGCACGCGGGACAGAGAGAGAATGGTTCTTGTCTTGTAGAGAGAGGTGGGTCTGAAGAAGTGAAGGCAGTGAGGAACAGCCTAGGTGGCTTGCTTGCCACCTTGGGCCATGGTGATGTCTGGACTTGGGCTACTGCCAAGGCCCATGTCTGCTGCAGTTGTGGTCTGTGTTGATGTCCAGGGCTTCTGTTACCACCAAAGGACGAGAAGATATGGAGCACAGAGTTACCCTCCCCACTTGCAGACTGCAACACTGGAAGAACTGGCCCACAGCAGCATTCAGGAGAATAGGTCCTATACTCACCTGGGTAGCACAATAGAGCTGACCCTGTTCTCTTGGGGAAGCTGTCCCTGCCCCTCACTAGCTGCAACACTCAGGAGAGCAGGCTCTGTACCTCACCTGGGCAACACAGTAGAGCTAACCCTCTAATTGACAGGGGCAATTAGTGAGCTGGTCCCCAGAAGGTGAGCATGGGAGATCTGGCCCTGATCCTCATCTGCCATATGGTGGTGGATGAGGGAGAGATGCTCCCCCACCCCCTGTGACAGGTGGAAGAGCTGGCCCTGCCTCTCACCAGCTGCAGCACTTGGGAGAGTGGCCTTGCTTGGGCAACACAGTAGAGCTGGCCCTTTGTAGGTGTGGGTGAGCCGGCCTAGGGGTGTGGATCAGGAGAACCAGCACTATGCCTTCCACCATGCTGCATCATGAACTAGCCAGAGCAAAGCTGGAGAGCTCTCCCTGGTGGTGAGGATAGGGGAGCGCTGGCAGGTGGACAAACCCTGCACCCACCCAGGCCGAGAAGCAGGGCTATGAATTGGCTCACCCCATGGATGATCAGCTGGAGCACGTGAAGCCGCAGAGTCTGCACAACACAGAGCAACAACGGGATATTCAAGAGGAGTCCCAGTGAGGACCCAGCATCGATAGTGTATCAGAAAACACAGCAATGAACACTTGCCAGTGAAGATGCAGGGACTAAAGGGTTTACTGTGTGACTCACTGTGTCACACTACAGTTCCCATGAAGAGTCTCCCCCCCTCCTTTCCTTTTCTTTTTCTCTTAAATTTCATTTCATTTTATTTTGCGGGGAGGTTGCAAGGGCAGAGGGTGGATGCAGAGGGATGGGGAGATGAATGGCATTGAGATGCATGATGTGAAAGCCACAAAGAATAAATAAAAAGTTTAAAAAAATAAAAGAAATTTTTAAAAAATAAATAATGACAATCGGAAGACCCAAATGAGAGTAACTATTTCCCCACCACTCACTATTTTATCCTGGTTCCCCAGACCCTGGAAGTATTTTCTGATTTACAGATTTCTTCTGTATGTATTATTTTACTTAAGTCTCACCTCTAAACCATCAAAATCTCTCTTTTTTTTTCCTTTTGGTTTTTCGAGACAGGGTTTCTCTGTGACTTTGGAGGCTGTCCTGGAACTCACTCTGTAGACCAGGATGGGCTTGAACTCACAGAGATCTCCCTGCCTCTGCCTCCCGAGTGCTGGGATTAAAGGCGTGCGCCACCACCGCCCCGCCCCATCAAAATCTCTTGTCCAGGAAACTGATCATGTTCAGATTCACCTAGAATGTGAAAGGTCCACCAAGACTCTAAGACAGACGTACCTGTCACCCCAGCACTTGAGAAGTAGAGGCAGGAAGATGAGGAGGTCGTCCTGAACTACACATGGTCCTGTCTCATAAAACAAAAACAGGGCTTGGAAATGGCTCCGTGCTTTAGAGTACACGCTGCCCTTGCAGAGGGCGGTATCTCTCCAGCCCCTGTCTACAGTTTTGTTGTTGTTGTTTTGTGTGTGTGTGTGTGTGTGTGTGTGTGTGTTTTAACACGAGATTTCAGGGCATTTTAACTCTGCTTGGGCAGTGACTCATCTTAAATTCTTTATCA